ATTCATTTATCCACAAACATGGATAATCAATTTATCCACTGATGTGGATAATTTATTTATCCACAAAGGTGGATAATTTATTTAGCCAAAAAAAGGTGGATAACTGATTTATCCACAAATGTGGATAATTTATTTATCCACAAACGTGGATAATTTACATATCCACAAATGTGGATAATTTATTTATCCACAAATGTGGATAATTTATTTATCCACAAACGTAGATAATTCTCCACAAACGTGGATAATTATTTATCCACAAACGTGGATGATTTATTTATCCACAAACGTGGATAATTCATCTATCCACAAACGTGGATAATTTATTTATCCACAAAAGTGGATAATTCATTTATCCATAGATGTGGATAATTCATTTATCCACAAATGTGGATAATTTATTTATCCACAAACAATTTATTTATCCACAAACGTGGGTAATTAATTTATCCACAAACGTGGATAATTTATTTATCCACCAATGTGGATAATTTTTTTATCCACAAACATGGATAATTCATTTATCCACAAATGTGGATAATTGATTTATCCACAAACGCGGATAATTCATTTATCCATAGATGTGGATAATTCAGTTATCCACAAATGTGGATAATTCATTTATCCACAAATGTGGATAATTTATTTATCCGCCAATGTGGACAATTTTTTATCCCCAAATGTGGATAATTTACTTATCCACAAGCGTGGATAATTTATTTATCCACAAACGTGGATAATTTATTTATCCACAAACGTGGATAATTCATTTATCCACAAACGTGGATAATTTATTTATCTACAAACGCGGATAATTCATTTATCAACAAATGTGGATAATTCATTTATCCACAAACGTGGATAATTCATTTATTCACAAACCTGGATAATTTATTATGTGGATAATTCACTTATCGGCTAATGTGCAAAATTTTTTTATCCACAAACGTGGATAATTCATTTATCCACAAACGTGGATAATTTCTTTATCCACAAACGTGGATATTTTTTTATCCACAAACGTGGATAATTTATTTATTAACACATGTGGATAGTTTATTTATCTACAAATGTGGATAATTTATTTATCCAAATATGTGGATAATTCATCTATCCACAAACGTGGATAATTCATTTATCCACAAATTTGGATAACGAATGCAAACCCTAAAGTCCAACAGAGACCTAAACATTAAATTTCAGAATTTCATCCCTATCCCTTCAACCATAATCAAATTTAGTACCATTTAGTACTTTTCGTAAAATTATTGTACACATTTTCAAAACAGCCTAGTACCTAGAATCAATACTTTCAACTACAGATACCAAAAGTGCCATTCATATCAAATTTCATGATTCCAGCTCTGTACCTCCACCCAATACCCAAATTAGTACCATTTAGTACTATTCGAGCAATTATGGTACATATTTCCAAAACCACCTCTATATTTCAATTCCAGATACCAACTGAGATCTTAACATCAAATTTGAGGATTGCAGCTCTATAATTTCCCCCATTTCCAAATTGAGTACTATTTAGTACTTTTCGTAAAATTAGAGTACACATTTCGGTGGCCGAAAAATAGCTCGTGTGCTGAACATATCGCAATATTCCATTCGACAAATATTGAAAAATGATCTCGGAGTAAAGCCATTGAAATTCCAAAAAGTGCAAAAACTTACACCGCAACAGAAAGAAAATAGACTCAAAAGAGCAAAAGAGTTACTTCGCTTGGCCGAAAGTGGTGAACTGCCGAATTTGGTTTTCTCCGTCTCCGATGAGAAAACATTCGTTGTCCAGCAGTTTGTAAACAACAAAATGACCGTGTTTACTTGCCAAAGAGTTCAGCTGAAAATGTGCACCTTCGGTTGGCCACCAGAACTCAAGCGCCGGCCATGGTGATGGTGTGGGCCATAACAGCCGCCACAACAGCCGATGGTCGCTCTCCGCTCGTTTTAATCGGCCATGGCATCAGAATAAATGCCAAATATTATTGCGAAAATATTCTGGAGGGTGTATTAAAGCCTTGGGTACACAAACATTTTGGCCGCCGACCTTGGACATTCTAACAGGACTCAGCACCAAGATCAACCAAGAATGGTTACAAAAAGGAGGTTCCTCGCTTCATTTCCAGCGCACAATGGTCACCAAAATCTCCGGATACCAATCCGTTGGACTATTGTGTCTGGAGTATTTTGAAAAGCAAGGTTGGCACAAAAAATACCAAAGTGTATATCACCTCAAGAAAGCGCTTCGTCGCCGGGAATAGGCCAAAATACCGCAGAGCAACATTCCGGCAGCATGTGACGGTTTTTATTAGCCGTTTGAAGTCCAAAATTCGTGTCAAAGGTGACCAATTCGAATAAATCTAAACTTATTCTAAAATTTGATGCTATTTCCGAGATTTGCTTGCTTTCATTCAATAAAATTTAAAAAAAAATTTTTAAAATTATGACGTCTGGCTATGTTGCAGTTTTTTTAGCTCAACCTGTAGAAACTAATCTAAATTGTACCAGATTTAGTACCATTTAGTACACATAAGTACACATTTTTCGTATTTCCAAATTTCAGGATTTCCAACTCTACCGGCTCTCCCAAAATTTTTAATAGTATCATTTTTTAGTACCTTTAAGTACACATGAGTACGAATTTCTAAAGCTACCTACATACCACAGTCGTACAATGCAATAGTAAGTCTAATTTCTTAATTTCAACATTCCAGCTCTATCGATTCTCCCAAATTTTAAGTTGTACCAAATGTAGTACCATTAAGTACTTTTCGAGCACATAAGTACAAATTTCGGAAACTACCTCCATAGCCCACTACCTCCGTATCTACTCTCTGATTGTTATGTTAATTTCAAATTTCAAGATTCCAGCTCCATTCGTTCCTAAAAAAATTCCAATTGTACCAAATTTGGTACCATAAGTACGATTTTCCAAAACTACCCACATACATCAGGCCAACAATGCAATAGTAAGCCTTATTTCTAAATTTCAACCTACCAGCTCTATCGTTTCACCCAAATCATAGTTGTACCAAATTTTGTACCATTTAGTACTTTTCGTGCACATAAGTACACATGTCGAAAACTACCTCCATATCCCACTACTTTCATATCTACTCTCTGCAAATTATGTTAATTTCAAATTTCAAGATCCCAGCTCCATTCGTTCCTCAAAATACAAATTGTAGCAAATTTAGTACCATTTAGTACACAAAAGTACGAATTTCCAAAACTACCCACATACCTCAGCCCTACAATGCAATAATAAGCCTAATTTCTAAATGTCAGCATTCGGGGGCTATCGGTTCACCCAGAACGAAGTTGAGCCATATTTAGTACCATTTAGTACTTTTCGAGCACATAAGTACAAATGTCGAAAACTACCTCCATATCTACTCTTTGAAAGTTATGTTAATTTAAAATTTCAAGATTCCAGATCCTTTCGTTCCTCAAAATACAAATTGTAGCAAATTTAGTGCCATTTAGTACACAAAAGTACGAATTTCCAAAACTACCTATATACCTATTTCCAAAATTCAGTTTACCAGCTCTATCGGTACACCCAAAACGAAGTTGAGCCATATTTAGTACCATTTAGTACTTTTCGAGCACATAAGTACATTTAGTACACATAAGTACGAATTCCCACAACTACTCACATACCTCAGACCTACAATACAATAGTAAGCCTAATTTCCAAATTTCAGCCTACCAACTCTATCGTTTCACCCAAATCATAGTTGTACCAAATTTTGTACCATTTAGTACTTTTCGTGCACATAAGTACAAATGTCGAAAACTACCTCCATATCCTAATCCTAAACTCCGCCAGTAGCTAATTTCAAATTTCAGGATTTCAGCTCCACCGGACCCTCCAAATTCAAATTGTACCAAATTTAGTACCACTTAGTACTTTTCGTGTACATAAGTACAAATAACGAAAACTTCCTCCATATTCCAATCCTAAACTCCGCCAGTAATGCTAATTTCAATTTTCAGGATTCCAGGTCCATCTGTACCTCCAAATTCAAAATGTACCAAATTTAGTACCATTTAGTACTTTTCGTATACACGAGCACACACACTTCCAAAACTACATCCTTACATCGATCCAACTCCTCAACTTTGATTTCCATTCAAAATTTCAGATTTTTAGCCCTAATGGTACCATTTCGGAAGTTTAGTACCATTTTAGAACTTTTCGCAACTTAGCAATTAACATATGTAACAGAGAATAATAGAAACCACCATCCTCGTGTCATAAGTGACCAATTAATGTATGTTCATGTAAATTCCGCAAATTATTGCTATTATTAGTCTTCTATGGAAATTTTTGCATAACAACCGCCATTCATGATTCATTTATTCGTTCGTTCATTCATTTGACGTTTAGTGTGTCATTTTCGAACAATTGACAACAACAATAATGTAGTGCGTATTCATTCTAAATCGCTAATAAATGCAATTTCAAATGGCATCAACAATACATCGATGGCAGATAATCAGTCAGTCGGGCGTGTGTAATGAAGGGAGGATAAAGGGCATCGTACTCTCTCTCACACACACACACATACATACACAACCTCCCATATCAAACGCAGCAATCATAATTGATATCTCATTTGATTTTTTTTTTTTTTCAAGAAAATAAAAAAAATAAATAAACAAAATTTGTCTAAAAACAAAAACAAAGGTTAACATATTAAACGTTGTTATTGTTTTGTTTTTTTTTTTGTTGTCGTTGCACACATTAAAATTTGAAATTATATTTTTAGGATGCATTCATTTTATAAGCCTGGGTTAAAAGTGGCATTTTTCTCAAACGGTTTAAAAATAAATTAACGCTGGCAGGGCATTGGAATGAAGTGAGTCAACTTTGTTATTTTTTTGGCCCAGTTTTAAGGCTATTAAGTGTTAAGAATTAACCTCGTTAAAAAGGGTTAAATGAGTTTGTGTGTGTGTATGTGTATATTTAAGTATCAAAGTCTTACCTTTTGTCAGAAGCTGCATAAAAGCTAAAGCTGTAAAGAAATGAAAACAAAAATAAGATTTTAAAATTATGTAAAAAAAAATTAAAATAAAAAAATGGCTATAAATTTTATAAATTTTTTTAAATTTATTCTTAAATAAATATCGTTTTTATACCCTACACCACAAGGTGGGCAGGGTATTACGACTTTGTGCATTTTTTTATAACAGGCAAAAGGAAACGAGATTGACCCATAGTTCATTTTGATGATCTGCATAGAATCACATTCTGAGTCGATTTATGCATGTCCGTCCGTCTGTCCGTCCGACCGTCTGTCCATGTATTTTTGTGAACAAATTACAGTTCGCATTTATTACCCGATCCAGATGACATTTTGCACAAATCATTTTTTTGGCCCAAGGACGAACCCTATTGAAATTGGAGATAATCGGTAAAAATTTAGATATAGCTCCCATATATATCTTCGTCCGATTTGCCTTTTATTGTGCACCAAACGTGTAATGTCAGCCCGAATAGTATGAAATTGTGCACATGCAACCAAATTAGACCTGAAAATAAGTGTGTGCCGAATTTCATCGAAATCGGTTCAGATATAGCTATAGCTCCCATATATATTGTTCATCCGATTTTTTATATTTGTTACCCACAGCCGGAGTGCATATCTCCGTAACAACGATATTCAGGGAAACATATCAAATACAGCTCAGAAATACCTTTGCTAAATTTTATCGAGATCGGTTCAGATTTGGATATATCTCCCATATATAACTTCGTCCGATTTACATTTTATTGTGCACCAAACGTCTAATATTTGCCCAAATGGGATGAAATTTGGCACTTACGACCGAACTGAGTCTAGAAGCTAGTATGTCAAATTTGGTGAAGATCGGCTCAGATATAGCTATAGCTCCCATATATATTGTTCATGCGATTTGTTATTTTTGTCCTCCGCAGTCGTTATATGCACTCTGTAACAACGATATTCAGGGAAACATATCAAATACAGCTCAGAAATATCTTTGCCAAATTTTATCAAGATCGGTTCAGATTTGGATATAGCTCCCATATATAACTTCGTCCGATTTACCTTTTATTGTGCACCAAACGTCTAATATTTTCCCAAATGGGATGAAATTTGGCACTTACGACCGAATTGAGTCTACAAGCTAGTATGTCAATATTGGTGAAGATCGGTTCAGATATAGCTATAGCTCCCATATATATTATTCATCCGATTTCTTATATTTGTTACCCTCAGCCGTAATATGCACTCCGTAACAACGATATTCAGGGAAATATATCAAATACAACTCAGAAATACCTTTGCTAAATTTTATCGAGATCGGTTCAGATTTGGATATAGCTCCCATATATAACTTCGTCCGATTTACCTTTGATTGTGCACCAAACGTCTAATATTTGCTTAAATTGGATGAAATTTGGCACTAACGACCGAATTGAGTCTAGAAGCTAGTATGTCAAGTTTGGTGAAGATCGGTTCAGATATAGCTATAGCTCCCGATTTGTCATATTTGTTCCCTGCAGCCGTAATATGCACTCCGTAACAACGATATTCAGGGAAATATATCAAATACAGCTCAGAAATATCTTTGTCAAATTTTATCAAGGTCGGTTCAGATTTGGATATAACTCCCTTATATATCAAATGGGCAATACAAGTCCGAATTTAAAAGAAACAAATGCTTCGGCATATTTAGTCCTTTGAACTTTAAATTATAATTATAATCATGGCGTGTATCATTGAATTCTCCCATAAAAACTTTTAATTGTTGAGTGGAGCTCTACTAAATTGGCAAAGTGATGTAGGGTATCATAAAATCGGCCGACTTTAAGACTAACTTTACTGGTTTTACTTATTTAGTCTTTAAATCACTGACTTTAAAGCAATAATTCAAATTCCTACTTTTCTTAAAAAAAAAACTAAAAAACGATTTTTTAATCTGTAAAATATTTTTTCTTAATAAATCGACAATTTTGTTTCAAGAGGTCCTTATCCTGGAAATCCAACAACAGGAGGTCTTTTAAATATTTTTTTTAAAGTCCACATTTTTTTTGTTTTTTTTTTTTTAATCCATGATTTTTGGTCTAGATGTCCTTCAACATTTTCTTTTTAAAAGTCAGAAGATCCTTCAAAATTCTTCAGTTAAAAATTCACTGTTTGGGGTCAGACCAAATTATTTTGAAAACATATTTTCTAGAATCCTGATCTTTGGTTTAAGATTTGTTTCTTCTCCTCTTTCTTTCTTTAAAATAATACTCAAAATTACACGATTCATGGTCATGAGAATCCTCAAAATTTGTTGTTTAAAACCCTCGATTTTTTGGCCTGCTTATCTATAATATTATCCCCATTTTCGTTCATAAGCATTCTCACCATTACTTTTTCCTAAAAACCAAAACTATTCACCCGGGCCGAACTTTGAATACCCTCCACCATTTGGAATTTTCAAAAAATAAAATCCGTTAAAAATTCTGTTAAAATCTTAAAAATACCGAATATAGCCGTTATATTGGGGTCTATACGACGTGGACCGATACATTGTGACATTGTTGCCATATTTAAATTCGAAACTTGAAATAAACGGTGAATAATGTAGCTAAAATCATCAAAATACCGTATATAGGGAGGTACCGTTATATCGGAGCTATACGAAAACCTGGACCTGCATAGACAGTTTTCTGTCACAGGCTGTAGCATCCATTACGAACTTCAAATACGACATTTCAAACTATTTCGGGGACTATTGCACCTAAAATCGTCAAAATCCCGAATATTGGGAGGTACTGATATATGGGGCCTATACGAAGACCTGGACCTGCATAGACAATTTTCTGTCTTAGGCTGTAGTATCCATTATGAACTTCAAATACCAAATTTGAAACAATTCCGGTGAATAATGTCGCTAAAATCATCAAAATACCGAATATCGGGGGGTACCGTTATGTGGGGGCTATACGAAGACGTGTACCTGTATGACCCATTTTCTGCCTTATGCTGTAGTATCTATTACCAACTTCAAATACCAAATTTGAAACAATTCCGGTGAATAATGTCGCTAAAATCAACAAAGAACCGAATATGGGGGCTATACGTTATATGGGGGCTATACGAAGACGTGGACCTGTACAGACAATTTTCTGTCATAGGCTGTAGTATTCATTTTAAGCTTCAAACACCAAATTTGAAACAATTCCGGTATATAATGTCGCTAAAATCATCAAAATACAGAAAATCGGGAGGTACCGTTATATGGGGGCTATACGAAGACATGGACCTGCACAGGCAATTTTCTGTCATAGGCTGTAGTATCCACAACGAACATCAAATACCAGATTTGAAACAATTCCGCTAAATAATGTCGCTAAAATCATAAAAATACCGAATATCCGGAGGTACCGTTATATGGGGGCTATACGAAAACGTGAACTTTCATTCTTCATTTACTGTCTTAGGCTGTAGTATCTATTGCGAACTTCAAATACCAAATTTTGAAACAATTCCGTTGAATATTGTCGCAAAAATCATGAAAATACCGAATATCCGGAGGTACCGTTATATGGGGGCTACACCAAAACGTGGACCTATATGGCCCATTTTCAATGCCAAAAGTCCTGCCGACATAATACACATTTGAGTAAATTTTTATCAACTTACTTCATTTCGTTCGCAAACTAGAGTGGTTTCCACAGACAGACAGACGGATAAACGAACGGACGGACATTGCTGAATCGACATAAAATTTTTTGCTGATCAAGAATAAATATATTTTGTGGGTTCCAAAATGTATTTTTTTATTTGTTACAAACGGAATGACAAACATAATATACCCTCCATACTATGGTGGAGGGTATAATTAGGAAATATTTTGGCAATTTTTTTATTTATTTATTTATTTTTTTTTTTTTTTTTTTGTGGCAAACCTTGCAGCAAGTTTTTTTTTCGGAACACATTTTTATCAATTTTGTAATATTTGTGAAAATGGAAATATAACTTTCAAAAAAAAAAAAAAAAATTCTGACATTTAATTTTAAAAATTTTCCCTTTTTTTTTTTTTTTTTTTTTTTTTTTTTTTTTTGGAATTCAAATAAATTGCCTTTAATTTAAGGTTATTAAATTTTCGATACTTCCAGATATTTACAAATTTCGACCAGTTATCTCCCCTATTATTTCATACGGTTTCGAAAAAAATCCATTCGCAATTTCTTAATACCAACCAAAAATTATGCAAAACAATTTTGGCCCCTCCTGGACTTTGGTCCCTAAGTTCGACGGGTCAGTGAGAGCGTGTGTGTGCTCTTTTCTGGAATACCATACAAATTAAAATTGATTAATTTTTATTATTGTTTCATTGGTTATTTAAATGAATCGGACATGGGTCAACATTTTATTTCTATGCCCAATGACTTCATTTTTTTGGGTACCGACATGGCCGAAGGGGGTTAACTGTTGAAATTTTATGGCCCCCCCAACAACGTGTTTTCAAAATCATTTTTTTTAAATAAAAGCCAAAAAGTTGACAAAACTATCGTCAAGGTCACATGGGTTTAGAGATTGCTTTTGTTTGGAATAATTTATTCAAAAAAAAAATGTTAATTTATTTATTTTGATCTCTGCATTGCTATCTCGCCGTGTGGAGGGTGAGACTCGTGTCATTTTTTTTGTGAATATTTGTTTTAGTTAAGAAATGATATCAAAAGTGTTTAAGAGTTTTAAAAACTTGGTTAGAATAAATCGGCATGAAAATGGATTTTGAATATGGTAATGCTATGGCAGCAGCAGACCTTCTTGGATAGAATATTTTTTAAACAAAAATTTGAATTTCCTAAAAATTATGGAGATAACTTGATTTTTATAAATATTTTTAAAATAAAAAAAATTATTTTGAGTTTTAAAAATCGTATTACCTTTATGAAGATAAACCAGTGACCCAACAATCACCCCTTAACCCACCTCTAAATTAAATTCTGTGAACATCACTGCCCTCCTCCACCCCAAAAGTGATTATGTCT